ACACACACACACACACACACACAGTACGACACACATACACTGAGGTTTAAGAGCCCCGCATTGTAAGACAAAAGGTGTTGCCGTGGGCGACCTGCAGCTGTAATCAGATTATTGTCACACACACACACACATAACAAGTGTGCGTGAAGAAATGTGATTGGGGATGGTTTGTCAGACAGAGAGAGGAAAAAAGAGAGAAGAAGAGAGAGAGAGATGTGAGGGGGAGGAGAGAGAACGACAAGAAAATAAAGAAGAAAAAGAGAATAAGAAAAGGAGGAAGAGGACAGAGAAATGACTGAATCTGTCTCTGTCAGATGGGAATAAACAATTCAGACGTGTGTTACAGTGTGTGTGTCTTCCTGTCCTCCTTTAGTTTCCTGTCCAGCAGGAAATGTGACAAAGCTGTAGTTTCCCCGTCCACACCCTTAGTGTGTGTGTGTGTGTGTGTGTGTGTGTGTGTGTGCGTGTGTGTGTGTGTGCGTGTGTGTGCGTGTGCATGCTTATGTGTGTGTGTGTGAGGTGATCTATGACTTCTGTCCTGAACCTGGTTCCCATGAAACACGACTATTGTTTGTTTGGTCCCTCAGGACTCAGACACTGTTGGAAAGGGGCTGTGGTGCGTTCAGGTGCAGCTCTGTGTGTTCGTGTGTGAACTCTGACACCTGCTGGCAGAAACAAAGTGATCGGCCGCCAAAACTGGACCAAACTAAAAACTCAAAGTAGAAGTGAAATAAATGTTTAAAGATGTTTCTGTCATTTCAGCTCGTTCTCCTCTCTGATGTCCGTTCAAGTGTTTCTGATCAGTTTGGTTTGAATAGTTTGATGATATAAAAACAGGCTTAGACAACAGATGAGACTGACTCAGGATTGGTTGAGAGCATGTATGGGTGGGACCTTGATACCACGGCTCCACGATCACTACTGCTCAGCCTGTAAATGACATCATCGCCACAAGATGGCAGCGCTGTTATCGGAGATATTTTAGCTTTTTAACTTAACAGGAAGTGTTGTCCTTCTTCTTATGTTTACACTTTTCTGTAGTTCTGTCAGTCACAATAAACGCAGATCAGGTTCTTCTCATTGTATCACATATCTTGACTCCGGTTACGTTCACAGTGTTTTTACTCACCAGAATAAAAATGTATAAGTTCCACAATTATAGTTGTCAAAAAACATGAAATCACCGTGGTAACAAGCATCATTCATGACCCCACAGATAGACAGCATCTTGTTTTCATGGTGGATGTGAAGAATATGTCTTTTCAGTTCTTATCAGTAGAGAACCACGGAACAAGGATTTTTCCTCCAGACTCTTGTGTCTTATGTTTTTATCTACATAAAGATTTTAATACCTGCCGAGACAGGATGAAATGAATTATCAGTTTAATTTCAGACGGTTGTAAAGTTACAGAGAGTTAATAAAAGTGAAGGAGAGTGTGATGGAGTGGTGGAGAGGCAGAGCTGACCTTTCTCTGAGGCTGAATAATGAACCAACAGCTGGACGACAAGATCACGACCAACGTTAATGTGTCAGAGTCGTATGTGAACAGAAATCAAGTCCACCTTCTCCCACAGCGTCAAAACGAAACGCTGAAATTCAAAAGATCCTGAGAGGAGTTGACTTCAAACAGTTGATCCTACATTTCCCAAGATGCACCTGGATAAGTGCCACCTTCAAATGGACATCAGGAACTCGTGGTTTCAGTTTTTGTGTTCAAGTGGATTAGTCATGAAAACGCCGCTGCTAGGCAACAGCAATATGGACACTGATAATAACGATATTGTTAGCATGTCGTTCAGCTACAGAGGCTAACCATTCATATGAACTGTTCTCGTGAATACAGTAAAACAGGAAGAAGAGAAACTCCACGACTAAAATTATCATCAGACGTGCGACCTTTCACAGGACGAGCAGGAAACGGAAACTCTTACATTCATCAGTCATTCTTCTTCAGTCAGTGCTCAGTTAATATAGAAACAAGGAGTCAACTGACTACCTGGTTACACATTAGCTGGTTAGCTCACTAACTAAAGACTAACCACCCCCATGGACCAAGTGATCATTTGCTTACACGGATTAGCACAAACTAGTTAGTTAACAAGCTAGCGTCTACTAATAAATTGGCTAGCAGCTCTCTTAGCATGTTGCTCACTCAGGTAGCTATCCAACAACTTCTTGTAGCTTGAAAACAAAGGTTGGAGCAGAAGAAGACTACTGACTAACTAGTTAACTGACTAACCCTTCATGTGCTTCCAGATTACAGTTAGGATGTTGATGTTACTGACAACACACGGTGCAATACATCAGTCACGTTAGAGAAACCATCGCTTAAAGGAAACGTATTAAACCATCGAACGAATGAATGAACCTGTCTGTCATCTGTCTGCAGTAAGTACCAGGTGGTGGTGGAGGAGGAGCGCCCCCGCAGGCAAAGAAGAGGTACTGCAGAAATCCTGCGTTGTTACCCGGTGCCCATTCACTTCCAGAATGCGACCCTGCTCAACTCGCAGTATTACTTCAGCGCTGAGCTGCCGATGGGCGAGCTGAGGGCCGCCCTACCCTTCTGTGTCGGTCAGTCACCACCAGTTAGTTAGTGAGTGAAGAATAACAGTGAAATTATAGGTTAGTTAGCTAATAAGTTAGTCACTCACTCACTTGTTAGTTAGTTAGTCAGCAGTTAGTGAGTTAGAATTATAAATATGCTGCTAATTCATAGCATTGTAACATGAACTAAGTCAATCAGCCAGTTACTTGGTGAGCTCATTTCTAAACTGGCTAATAAGTTAGTTAATTTTTTCAGTCAGTTAGTTAGCTAGCAAGCTAAATGTTTGATTTATTGACTTACTTTACCAACTTGATTCAGTAATCAGTAACTGCTTGTCAATTGTTAGCTAACCAGTATGTTGTTTTTGAATTAGCTGCTAACCAGCTGACTTAGCTAACTTCAATGTTATATTCATAGTGCTTTAGTTGCCAAACTAGTAAGTAGGTAAGTTTTTGGCTATTCATTGTGCTAGTTTGTTAGCCTATGTTAGGTCTATTTTAGGTAGTTAGTAAGATTGGTAACTTTGATCCGCCAGTAAACTAATCAGTATGTTTGTCAGATTGTTGCTTAAATAACTAACTGATAGTACTTCAATTGTCAGTCAGCTAGCATGTAGCTAATCAGTATTTTACTCAGTCTTGTAGTAAGTTAGTTAGTTATTGCCTATTTACTTGAGTGCATGTGTGTCTGTGTGTGTTTAACAGGTGACAACAGGACGTACAGTGGTTACTGGAACGCTCCTCTGCTGCCTCATAAGAGTTATGGGATCTACTATCAGGCCGTCAGCACTGCTAATGGGGTGAGTTCACCTGTCGGCTGGTAACACGGAGTTCACCCATCTGCTCCTGCAGTTATCAGGGTTAGCGTTGAGTCTTTGTTCAGCGTACTATTGGATTTTTTTAACGAAGGATGTCAGAGGTGATAAATTGTCAGGACGAAACTTTTTTTTCAAGCTTATTTTTTTGGCTTTTAGAGCACAAGCTGTGAGTGGGACAGAGAGAGAGTGGGGGAGGACAGTGCAGAAATAGCCACAGGTCAGAACTGACCCGTCAGGAGGAAACTTTTAGGTCAAAATCTGAAAATATGTCACGACTCTGAGCAGCAGTGTGATTTTTTACACGACTTTAAAGAAGCTTCATATCAACCATGAGCTGTTTTCCACTGAGTTAATGAGGAGGAAACTGTGTCTGGATTGTGAAGGAATGGTGGCCGTCGACATCCAATCACAATGTTCAGCAGAGCTCGACGTCGCCAGAACAGAAAACACTCGTCAGAACAACGCTCATATTATTCTCTTTTCAATGTCCTTCACTTTTCTCTACTGTCAGTCACAAAAAATCAGAGAACTGAAACCAAGACAGAGAGGTCAAGCTCACACACACTCCCATGGCTGCAGTGGGGGCTGTGTGTGTGTGTGTGTGTGTGTGTGTGTGCACTTTATCAAATATGTGTGAATAGGTAATTGTCCGCCATTACACACACACACACACACTCATACTGAAAGAGTGAGACAGTTTTGGTGAAAGGTGAGAAAGAACATCTTGCGTCTTTCTGGTGATAACAAATAGACGACAAATTAACCTCAAGAGCTCATGAATATTCATGTGCGCACACACACACACACACACACACTCTCACATGCAGCAGCAGCAGCAGAGTGTCTCTGTGGTTTGGTGACAGTAAAAAGCACTACTGTTGCTGCATTATTCAACACACACACCAATTATAAACCCCCCAGTGTCAATAATTAACACACAATACAATCTGTGTGTGTATGAATGTGTGTTGAATGTGTGTGTGTGTGAGTGTGGGTTTGTGTGCGTGTGTGTGTGTGTGAGTGAGTGTGTGTGTG